AGTAGCTACACATACACAGAAAGAGAAAACTAATAAACAGCTTCCTTTACTGAGTCCAAACTCATTCTGCTTGCTGCATGACAGGCCAATAAATCGGGAGACCAGGTTTTGGGGCAAGGAATAGCAACTTTATTCGGAAAGCCGGCAGACTGAGAGGATGGCAGACGAATGTCTTCAAGAACCAACTTTCCTAAGTCAGAATTAAGGCTCCTTTTCTTCTAAAAAGGGGAGGAGTGTGGATGGTTGTTGCAAACTTCTTGCTGTAGGGATTCTTTCTTGCAGCTGTCCATGTGGGCCAGGTCATGGTGTCCCTGTAAAACCTCCAACAAAACAAATATTATTTTCTATTCTGCAACTTATCATTATATGAGTGCAATTGTCAATATCCTGAAAGGTCAGAGCCTTCCAAATAGGCTCTCATGTATATTTCAGGCTAAAGGCAACATTATTCTACAAAAGGTGCAGAGCTGGAAAGACTAAGTCTAGAAAGCAGGGCACAGGCTTAAAGGCAAAGGAACAGATCTTAATATGGAGTCAGATTTTTTTTTTTTCTGTTACACTTATACACAGCTTAAAAGCACCCCTAATGCCAATTTAAAAGTGACCATTAAGTGGCAACATCAAGGAACTCAGAGCAGTGGTTTGGAAATGCCAAATGAAATCTAAGAGTTAGTGGTAGTCACGCTGTGATCTATAGTTTTTCCATCTTACGTATCAAAAGTATTGACTGTCAGTTTAATGATTGCATGACTCCTATCCAGTGGAATTAAAATTTTCAATGTAAATATGAAGTATATTTTAAAGCAAAGCTCACTCTAAAATATAAAGTCTATGAATAAAGTATTAATTTCTGTTTTAAACAATCAGCTACATCCAAAGAGAATGATATTCTCTTCACTATAAACAACTGGCTTTTAAACCCTATGATGGTTTTCACCAACAGAACTCTGGCATGTCATCAAGAACATACGTTAAACTCATAACAAAAGCAAAGATCTTAAAACAGATAAACAAGTCTATACTGCATAGCACAGGGAAATATATTCAATACCTTGTAGTAGCTCATGGTGAAAAAGAGTAAGAAAATGAATATATGTATATTCATGTTGGACTGAATTGTGCTGTACACCAGAGACTGACACAACATTGTAAACTGACTATACCTCAATTAAAAAAAAAAAACAGGAAAAAAGATTCTTTCCAAAAATTTAGATAAAATGAATGCCTCTAGGTGTCTTATTTTAACTCCTAAGGGTGACTGCCTATCCCTAGGGGTACGTATAATCTCCTTTGAGAAGTTTCTGCCTAAGTGAGTTGAGCATTCTTGTAATAGAGGATCTGACTCCACATTGGATCTGTTCCTTTAAGTTCTAACCACTGTGCCCTGTTTTCTAGGCTTAGTCTTGCCAGCTCTGCTCCTTTTGTGAAACAATGTTGCCTTTAGCCTGAAATACACAGGAGAGAGAGCCTATTCTGGGGCTCTGACCTTTAAGGATGTTAGTTAGCTATTCTGCACTTACCTAGAGATGGCCAGTTGCAAAATAGAGAATAACCTTGTTTTGTTGGAGGTTTACAGGGACACCATGTCCTGACCCACATGGACGGCTGCAAGAACAGAGAATTCCTGCAGCAAGAAGTTTGCACCAACCAACCACACCTCCTCCCCTATTTTTCTGTGTAAAAGGAGCCTGTATTCTGATTGGAGGAGGATGGTTCTCCAAGACATTATTCTGCCATCCTCTTGGTCTGCCGGCTTTCCGAATAAAGTTGCTATTCCTTGCCCCATCACTTTGTCTCACGATTTATTGGCCTGTGTGCGGCAAGCAGAATGTTTGGGCTTGGTAACATTCTCACACTGTTGCCACTTTTAATACCCAGACATCCAGTCCTGATGTTTCAACTCTAATAGGAAAATGTGCGACATAAGTACACAACACTACTTAAGAGACCATGGATGCATTAACAAGTAGCTAAGTTCATAAAACTACAAGTGATTATTCCTGGAGAGAAAGGACTAGGACTCGGGTAGGAGGTATTTAGCAGCATCTTTGGGATAAAAAAATAAG